ATCGCGTCCGTTCACGTATGTCGCAGGAAGACACATGCGAGTTCTTTTGACAGAAATGGATTTTACTAGTTGTTTTGATGACACAATATTTCTGGAGATACGAATATTTGTACCCCCTCCCTTTTTTATGGTGTTTTTTTATGTGAAAAAAGGAGAAGGTGTGGAAAATAAATCAATGTGACCCCCCCTTCTCCACATTGTGAAAATCTCCGGGATTCAGAATCTTTGAACTTAGCAGGTATGCTGTTGTTATCGTCTCCTTTTTCGTCATCTGTATTTATTTTGATTATGTTTTGGTAGCACAATGTAAATATCAGTATCAGGTTCATTTACTGTACTCTCGACTGCACCCAAGTCAAAGGTTCGCACATGCAGCAAAACGGCATCTTTCTGAAGAAAACTAGCTATTCGTTGAGGTAGACTACTGAAGAGAGAAACAGTGCAAATTGTTACTGCTATATAACGCAGTATTTCATACCAAGTACACCAAACTCTGAATGCATGTTGCATTCTTCTTAAGCAAGCAAAATATTTCAAACGAGTTTCTTTCTTACATTGCCCCACTGAACACCATAAAACTCGCAGTGTGAATGGGTGATCATAAGTGACCAAACGCGCCTGTAATCAACCCGGGTTCGTCGCAGCACCGGTGACGTTTAGTCTAGACATGTGGTGACTGCCCCTCCTTCTTGTCCCTTGCTTCTACGGTGCTATGCAAGGTAGTTGGAAAGGGAAACTGGGGAAGCCTCACGGGCGAGTACGAAGCGTTGTGCGCTATGCGAACGCTGTCATTTGTTATTCTTCTTCGCCAGTGCCCCCCCTTACTCTATAGCCTGCAAACTTCGAAGTAAAATAAGTTTCCAGCACGTGCGTATTTTCTGCATTGCAATCATAAGTGCTCTAATATTGGCGGCGCAAATCTTCAGCAAAAAAAAAAAAAAAAAAGCCCATTTGAGAATATATACACTCCAGCATTGGCTTTGCTTCTCGCACACATTGACCAAACATTTCCAAATAAGCGCGAGGCTATATAAAAGCGTAAAACTTTTTTTTTTTTTTTTTTTCGCCATATGCAAGCTGTGCCAACAGCGCAGCACCCTTTTCAATGCTCTGTTTGAGCACTGCAGTGCGGAGAAAAGAGCGGGCAACCCCACCTCTGGAAACACACTCTCTCCATGCGATTGGGACGGCCGAAGAAAAACACGCTGCATGCCCGCCATTTTGGAGGCCATGCTCATAGCGCTACTTGTGCACAATGGCGTGAAAACAAAGTGCAATTGCGTGCGCTGCCATCTGACGCTGTGTTATTGTTGTCGTAGTGAACTTCGTTGTAACACCTGTTGCGCAGGGCACGATCGGCCGGTAGGAGATACATGGGTGGTTTTAAATTCCGTCGAGCATGCGCTGGAACATGGGAACCGAGTGGCTGGACGACACTTCGGTATTGATCCATGCGAGTTCGTTACGGGAGATAACGAAAAGAACTTCATGCTACAATAATGTTCGTCACGCATTTCGCGGGCTGAAGCACAGTTTCCCCTTGTAAAGAGCGAAGTTCTCAAATAGAGGCTCTGTAGTCCTGCCCCTGAATTGAAGGCCAGCAGAGGTTGAACGGCGAGTTTCTTAATACTGTCATGCGAAATGTTCGCTGTTTTAACACCTGTGACTTTTTTTCTCTCACGTAATGAACCCTTTCCCCAAGTGACATCAACTTTCCTGAAAAAAGAAGGTGGATTCAATGCGCGAGTAAATACGGTGCGTGCAGTATAAATATTTAAAAAAAAGGAGTAAATTGAAGCACAAACAAAGTGTACGTGCATTTAACAGAATTAGCATGTACTTTAACCAGCCAGATCCGGTCATGCGCAGTCTAGTCAAAATTTCTGGCCGAGAGGTCTGATCATGTGTAATTGTTGTGGCCATCATCACCGTCCTCCGAAAGCCTGTTGACCTCGGTTCCGTTGCGTGCGTTTTTAATGCCCCATTTTCTTTGAGCTCATCTCGGCATTGCTTAGAGAAACCAAGTCCCACAACACAATGATAGCAGAGGATCTGAGCATTAGCACATACCGTATAATGCAAAGCGAAATATAGGTCGACCCCTTTACCTTGACAAGCAAAAAAAAAAAAAAAAATCAGCTTTGTTCACTGATTCACTTTATTTAGGACTCCAAGCTGTCAGAGCTCTCCTCCGAGAACGACTGCTTTTCACTAGCCGCCTCACATAACATGTCGTCCACGGTGCCATTGAGAGCGTTGCCGATGCAGCACTTCTTAAATGTGCGCACCACCATTTCTTCAGGCACAGACTGCCATGCCTCGGAGACCCAACCACATACTGTCGCGAGAGGTGGGCGCAGCCGGCCTGTAGGGGGTCCGCGGTTTGTCACCAGCCATCCATTCAGTGTACAATGTATGCACACGGCTCTTGAAAGGCTTGTTAAAGACGTTAAGTGGTTGCAGTGTTGATGTCATCCCTCCCGTAATGACGACAAGATCAATTTTCCCATCGCAAAGTCTCTCCTTCACGGATGCCGTCAAGTGCCTGTGAAATGCATCGTAACACGAGCATGTTCCGGTGCTGCAGGAGGGCTTCGGCCCACCGGTTCGACATTGTGCAGATCCACTCGCGCATTAGAGCCTCGTCCATGTACCCCTTTTCGCGCATGCGAATGATGACATCTCGTGGCAAGGCCTCCTTTGGCAGCATCTTCCACTTGAAGATGATGAACGGGGCAACTTTCTGCTGTCAGCCGACAGCAGAAATGAGGAAAGTATTACGGTGAAGCTCAAATGCTGGCTTCCGATCGATGAAAGCTTCACTTCTTTTGCCCTGCGTTTGCAGACTGTCATGAACGACGGCATGTAAAACCACACTAGCCTTTCGTCAGCGTTGCCGATCTGGCCTAACATGTAGCCATGATCTCGCCAGAGGCTATTCATATAGAGTTGAAACACTATCAACTTGTCCTCGTACATCTCGGGCAGCTTCTGGCAGATTGACGTGTGCCGTCGAAGGGCAAATCCTTTGCGGCGCATCAAGCGGTGGACCCAATACATAGACCCCTTGAAATCTTTTCTCAACAGACCGGCTTCACGGGCGAGCTCAACGACTTTTGTGTGAATGAGCTCCGCATTCACTGGCAGGGGACCTGGCATGGTACTTGCAAACGAAATGTGCCACCTTGTCTTCGAGTTCCGGGTGCACAGCTCAGCGACCGCAAAAGGACGTCTTCCCCGCATTGCATACCAACAGTTTTGATTGTTGGTTGCGCCAGTTCCTGACGCTTCTCTAGAACACTCCACACTACTGCTGCGCCGCCATGATGCCATTCGCTTTCGAGAATTCAATAACTTTTCTCCTAAATGCGGCGGTAAACTGATGCCACGTCCCAGTATTCATGGCTTGCCGCAGAGCAAGGTCACCACTCGCTAGGAACACTGAATGAACAAGAAAAGTAAAATGGCGTCGGCAGAAAATGCGTCAGGTGTCTGCCCATGGAGGCAATGTTGATGCTGATGCCTAAGAAGCATGCGACGTTCCTTTTGCCAGACAATCACTCTGTTTATGCCAAAGGCCGGTATATAGGTTGAGGGGTGACTTTTTAGTGACATTTTCAGAAAAAAAAAATCTCGACCTATATTCCGCACTATACGGCAATTGAAAACAGCAGCAAGTGTGCTTTCTCCCATATCGAACGTCGCACATTGGAAAACTTCAGGCTTAAGCTCTTGGCGGTGGCACGTATTCCTGTTTTCTTCTGCAAACTTTATAATAGCGAGCTTGAATTTCTCTGTGTATATAATTATTGTAGACCATCAGAAGGAAACAGTAAAAATGTGACAGGCGGATGGCGACCTCAACTTTTGAAATCAACCAAGCATACTTTGCAGCACAGATGTAGATAACAAGGGAAACAGTAAGTGTGACAGGTCCTCGCACGCCTCTGATGCAGAGACTTGTTTGTGTTGTGACGCGAGCATGCATTCTCATGGTGGAAGAGATGGGGCGGTAGAGAGACTCACCATCCCATCTCAAGTGTGCCACCATTCATGCTGTCTCTTTGAACGAGACCACTAAGTGCGCTGCATAAGCATGTTGCCTTCACAAATGAAAGCAACTCTCCATTGCTGTGCCCGTGTGTGATCAGGATAGGAGTGGACACAATGAACACTTTCATGGCACATGTGTTTGTACAGTACAGTAAAGCAAGCACCCCAGCAGAAACAGCGTGAACATGGTAAGCGGTGTACTGCACACAACTAGGAATGACCGGCTCTACGCAGAGACAAATGCGGCATGTCAGCGGAGATTTTTCGGCAGTAGAGCATCGGGAAAGCCAGACTAGTTGTCTACTCCTCTGCCGCAGCCTTTGTGTGACATGTCATAGCTTCGAAATGCTCTATGCAAGAAGGCCATAATTTTTTTCACGATCTGCTGGTATTGGTGGCGTGTATTGGATAGACTCACTGCTGGTACCGAATGTATTCGTGAGAGCTTAGATTCTCGCCAACATGCTTGACAAGTGTACTGGCAGGCACTAGAGCTGTTTTGGATATGGCTGTAGTGATTTGACCGTCTGAGCGATGTAAAATGGTATAAATTATTTTTTTTAATGATTTCACAATCCCTAGGTAATCCAGAAAATCAGACATTCATTGTGCCAATAACCACTAAACTTTCTGGGCAAATCGAGCCAACACGGCTATTAATTGCCAGCATTTGATGAGTAAAATGTGTTTTTGCTTTAGAGTGTGCTGCACTCTGTAGGAAAGCTGTATTTATTGCTGCTGCACTGAACAAGCCAGGGGGGATTTTGCATTAGGTGGTCAGAGTTGGCCGAAGCTAAAATATTTCTCTGAAAGCGGCTTAGAAATGTATAGTAAGCTTGAATAAATCTATGCAATTGGCAAGACATTTTAGGTCTATGTAGACTCTGTAGCTTCATGATCTCCACTGTTTGCTTTCATGTCGTAAAAATATTTCATTCTGGTTCCAGGAATTCGAGAAGCAGCGGCTGCAGCTTCAGAAAACAATGGCATGCAGAAGGATTTGGCATCGGAAGAGCTCTTTGATTTGAAAGGCAAGTTTCGAATTCTTGGTTCTTGCATTTTCAGGTAGCAGATGAGTTAAAAGGCCTCCATTTTGTCTTTTTGTTGCCAGGCGTACTAGGTATTCTCTATACTACCCTCCCACCCCACCTTTCCCTAAAACAGTAACTTTCTTCCATGTTAGAAAATCGCCTATAAGTAATGGTCTTTGGTAAATATTTTAAACATCCTTTTAATTATTTTGCCCTCAGTACTGAAGTATTACAGAAGGGAATGGTTGTAAAACCTCTCATTATTACAGTCGAGCCCACAAATAACGGCCCCGCTTGAAACAAACTTTCACCTAAAATGAACAATATTCGCGTGACCGTGAAAGTATACATTATTTCAATGGCACAAAATCGCACTTACAACAACCGTCTTTGAGCGCCTCCGATCGGTTACAGCGAATGGAGTCGGCGCTCTGCCACTGCCGCTGGATGAACAAGCACTCGTGCGCTCTTTCATCTAGCGGCCCTGGCTCTGCCTACTTCTCGGGAAACCATTTTCGACCACCGATCATAGCCTCCGCTATCCTCTAGAGGATAGCCTCCGCTATCCTCTAGTTGCCGCTCTCCCCGACCGCTTTTTGATACGTACCACCTCCGTCCTTTGTCCCCCCAGCTTTTGCGGCCTAGAGTGACCAGACCATTTGCCGACAACGCCGGCCACCGACTGTATCCAATCGTCTGCGTCTTGGCTTATCGTAATATTCTAGTGCACGCACTTGTGCTACCCCACGGACTCTGATAATTCGCGATTTGTTTCGTGTTTAGGGCCTGTTCTTGCTCTCTTTGCACTCGGCTCAGCATGCCCTCCGCACGCGTGCGAAAGCGTAAAAACGGCTTAGCACGGAACGAATCGCGAAATAGCACAGTCGGGGAAGCCACGCAAATCCGCCGGCGCAACAAAACGATTCTTTGACCACGGCCGCCGATGCATTGAATATACCGCCGCGCGCGCAGGCACTCTTTCAAGTTCTTCTACGCCCCAGTTGGGCGTTTCGCGGGCCTTTCAAGCAAGCTACCTGACCTGACTCCTTCCCACGAGTTTTGGTTTTCAAGGTCGCCTTCCCGCCGTATCCTCCCCTTTCTTCACCCTATCACAACTCCTTGCCCTTCTCTCGCAAATCTGCTCTTCTCTCTTGATAACAACTCCCTCGCCCATCTCCACCGCTCCGCAACGCTAGCCACGCCGGCTCGAATTCAGAAGTTTCGTTTTCTGACTAGAAACACGCCCAGAGCTGTACCACGCGTTCTGGCATGTGTGTTCCGTTTGCGTGTCTTTTTCGCTCTTGGTGTGCGCGTTGATGGAACCGGGGTTCTGCCCAGATGACTGGAGCCAGCCAGAGTCTCCGGGAGATGTCGAAGAGAGGAGCCGGGAGCTGCTAACAGTAACTTTTGTTTACATAATATACAGATAGCGTGTTATTACATGATGAGAGCAGCATTATGGAAGCTCTCGACGGAAACATGATGGAGATTCTGTGAGCTTGTGAGAGCTAGTGAAGAGCGCCACGGCGCTCGCGTTTTATGTCCTGGCCTTCTCAGGATTCTCTGCAGGAAAAAACAATGCAGGCCAGGACAGTCCAATGAAGTTTGTCATCTTCACCTCCACCCCCAAAAGGGGAAGGTGAAACACCGCCTCCTTCTCAACCCACGAAAGGGGGAAGAGGCACGCCCAGCTCGGCCTATGGCGAGGGAGACAACACTGCACACCGCGCACGACACAGCACAGCAAGAAGATGTTGAGTCTTACGTGGAAGTCAATTTCGCAGTCTGTTGCAGTGATGGCTATGCGGCGCCAGACAGACCACAAATTGTGGAAACAGCGGCATCAAGGCGCCACGGAGAACGTGGAAAATGCATCCGCAGACGGTTGTCAGACGCTGGGCCCTTTGCCCGGGGCACCTTGACGAAAAAGCAAGCTGCCTTGAAGGCCAACAACCCTTCCCAATCCGTCAGTCGGTCAGGCGTGTCCAAGGGGTTTTGTGAGGGGCACCGACGACCTGGGATAACTAGAAGAACGATTTCTCTGTTGGCGTCGCTCTTGGTGCATCTCTGGGAGCGCTGACTCGGAAGAAATCAGGGTAGGCTCAGCCACAATGCCTCATGCGTCAAAGCGGCGTCAAGCCAGGCAGGCCAATCATAACAGCCCGTCCACCGCCACAGGAGGTCTTGAAGGGGTTTGCTGCACCAAAGCACTGTGCAAAGACCGTAGATCTGCTCTCTTGTAGACGTTGACGCAGGCTGTACCAATCTCTGGACCTGAGCCATGGCTAGCAAACGCCAGAAACAAACCACGCAAGGCCCGAGGCACAACAGAGAGCACTCAACTGACCTCGAGAAATGCAAAGTTCTGGTAAAACTCTCTAAAAATATCAAATTTGTGCGCTCGCTCGCGAAAATCAAGAGTTAGATAACTAAGTCGTAACAAACTCAGACCTACTACGTGCGAAGCAAATCAACAGCCTAACGTTTTGTATCATTTCCCAGAGAGATTCATGTAACGTTGTGGTTCCTTTGTTTCTCACACAACTTGCAGGTTCGATTTGGGAGGTCCGAGGAGCCACCTCAGGACACTTCCCGAAGGACAAGTCCGTTTGATGCAAACATTTAACGGCAACAGCTTCAGACCACTTAACCCAAAATATGATGAGTCCTATCTCTCGGATACAGTTACAAACAAATCTTCAAGCTATAAGTTAGTCACTCATCATCAAGTCCTACCACTCAGTCCCTAAACAAAAAGTCCTAAGCACGCAGTTCCTACACACAGAGTGTGTTGCGGAACGTCAAAAGAGCGGCATTTCACTGACGTTGTTGCGTAGGAGCATTGGGGCGAAGCACAGGGTCGATGCAGTTGTCTTTGTAGTTGGCACCGGCGTTGGGCAGGTACATGAATCGTCGGAGAAGCAGCCTTCCTAGGCTGCCGGTGGACGCTGCACCAGCTGACGCTGCATTTTATGTACTGGCCTCGAGCTAGAGTCCCGGCCGGACAGCTCAGACCTGTCCATGGGCACGGAAAGCCAGCGCAGCCTGGTAGTCCTGCAGCCTCTCAGGTCACCGGACGATGGAGGTAGCAGCCTTGGCTCGGGTCCGAAACCCGACCACCCTGATGCGTGGCTCGTATTCCTCTGGCCACCGCTGCGACTCTTCTTTCTTTTCTCTCTCTTGCGCGTGCTTCGAACAATGCAGCGTCTGCATCGAATTCACTTCAGTAATTTATTGTTAATTATTAACGTTCGTGCCAGCTTCTTCTTCCCTGAGACTTCCAACTTCGTTCACGACGCGCACTTTAAATTCCTCTCTCCCCGTTTCAAGTTCCGCGCACTCCACCCGCTTTGAATTCCGCACACTCCATCACAATTCACAGAGTTTCAGGCACGCAGGTGCTATGGGCAAAACAAAACGAAAGGAGGTAGTTAATAAATTACGCCTCTCACTGCATAAGTAAAACTCAAGATCAAACTCACGCGTATATCATAAAAGAAACAGAGAACCAAAAAACCTACACTGCTTTGCAAAAACAGAAGGCTCAAACAGAGGCTTTTTACCTTCAGCCTACTTCTCTGTTAAGATAAACTTTTGTGTAAAACATAAAATAAACAGAGACACCTAAACCTATACTTCACTGCAAAAAGAGAAGGTTTAAACAGAGGTTTTTACCTTCAGCTTAATTCTCTGTTACAATCAACTTGCGCAAAACCCTCTACTTGGGTGCTATGTTTTGCTAAATATAAGCAAACAAACAGTTTACTAATTATCTCAATATCTGCACTTAGGACGAGGAGTCGCCCCGCCGCGGTGGTGTAGTGGCTAAGGTACTCGGCTGCTGACCCGCAAGACGCGGGTTCGTATCCCGGCTGCGGCGGCTGCCTTTCCAATGGAGGCGGAAATGTTGTAGGCCCGTGTGCTCAGATTTGGGTGCACGTTAAAGAACCCCAGGTGGTCAAAATTTCCGGAGCCCTCCACTACGGCATCTCTCATAATCATACGGTGGTTTTGGGACGTTAAACCCCACAAATCAATCAATTAGGATGAGGAGGAAAATAAAGCTTTCAAAATGGGCATACTCCTTACTCATCACAGATAAGCAAACATTAGAAAGTAAAACAATCAAAACTGGATACAAGTTTTAGTATCCTTACTCTGTCGCAAACATTAAGCGGCACCCTTTCATACGGGCTCTGGGGGGACGATCACACCACAGCTTTTGAGATCATACCGCAGTTTTGAGACAAACAGCAAACCTGTCCGAAGCTCTCAGTGGCAGTGGCCTTTGTTCCGCGGTCCCCAAACTCCAATACAGAGGCGTACCGATAGTCTCGCATGTCCCTTGTTTGCCTTTTGGTCAAGTGGTTACCCTTTCGCCGTGGAGGGGGATGGCTTTTGTCATTCCCGAGAATGCGCCTCGTTGTTCTGCTCGGCTGTCTATTCTGCGTTCAAGGCGATGAGACCAGACGTCCACTTTGACGTCTGAGTTTCTACTACGCTTGTATAAATTATGCTATTTGAGTGATTGGACGATTGCATGCCTAACCATGCAAAGGTGTTGATGTGTTACAAACAGCACATTTTCATGAAACGCTATAGCCTTTGCGACACGCTTCATTCCTAATCTCGCTTTCTGACAGACCCTCAACTTCTTACTTCTAGCCAGCTTTTTGGGGATTTCCGGCCTCCGCTCGAGGCAATACTGACCCTTCGCGTTCCCTCTACGTTTTCGCCGGCGCACTTTTCTTTTGGGGCGGCACGGAACGCTCACCGACTCGGCAATAATAGTCGGAAGTACATTGCTCAAAACTCCAGTCAGCTCAATTGGCTTATCCTCGGCGCTATTTTTGTCTGCAATTTCGAAAGAACGCGACAATCAACACTTGCTAAACCAGCTGGCTCGCCATCAGATGTCTCTCCTTGATGAGAGTCGTCACCTCGCGCTATGTTAAGCGCCTCTCCCTCTCGTGATAAGCTAAGCCCCTCATCATCGGGACCTTTACAAACTACTTTATTGGTGCTTTCTGCTTCCGTAACCTCATGAACAAACTCACAGGCCATCAGAGGCGTCAGAGCTGTCGCCGATTTGTCACCAAAACAAAGGCCTCTCAAGAGCACATCCGCGTCATTCTGAGTGGGATAATGCCCGGGCAGGTTTTGGAATACCACAGTTTCTGTTGCGAGCAGTCTGAACCGTTCCTCACTCTCAATGCGGGCTAACGGCAAACACACACATTTATTCTCAATTACATGCTGTGCGCACCTGCGTTCCCCTGTGGTCACCTCATTTTTCACGGTGTCGGGATGTACATCATTCAGTGGTGTGGCTGAGTCCTGTGGTACATCACACAACGTGCTCTATAACGGACTCTTGAACATAGGGTTTCAATTGTTCCAGTTCATTGTCGGTGCTGTCCACAAAACAGAGAACATTCCTAAGCTTGCGGCAGCCGATTGCGATATTACTCTTTGCAACGGTGGCATACAACCGGCTTTCTAGCCTTAAATGCCTTTTGTTTCTTTCGATCTTCTGAGTGGCTCACTGTAGCCGTCGACTTTGCAGGACTATCTTTTATTTTCTTCTGCGAGGATGCTATTCCATTGATTGGGTTACTTGAAGCCTGACAAATTCCTAAAGCTAATTGTCTTTGCTCATTTATCCTGTCTTCTTCAGCCCACCTTTTGTTCTTTTCAACCTCTTCCCAGCTTTCCTCAATTTCGTCACTCTCCGCCCCGCATTCCTGAACAGCCTTAATCAGCTGCGACTCTCTCTCTTCTCTCCCAACCTTGATTCCCAGCTCTTCACAAAGTAGCAAGAGGTCTGGTTTCTCAAGCTTCATTACCAAATCCATGGTATTCATGAGTGAGGACTTTCTTACCCGCCGTGACGTTAGGTAGCGAACAAGCGAAGCCCACACGCACAGTAAGAACACTGTCAGTTTAGAACATGAAAGATAAAATTGTGAATAGTTGTGACGTATGGTAGCGGTGCAACGAAACCTATACGCAGTGAAGATTACACACAAATTTAGAAAACTTCAAAATCTAAAACATGGCAAAACTCAAAGAAAGTCAAGCACTTACCATATCGTTGAGGCCCGAGTCAAGCATGGGTCATCCCGTTGCTGCTAACCAGTTGACGTGTTAGCATCCCACCGCTGCCTCCAGTTGATGTAACCGGGGTTCTGCCCAGATGACCGGAGCCAGCCAGAGTCTCGGGGAGATGTCGAAGAGAGGAGCTGGGACCTGCTAACAGTAACTTTTATTTACATAATATACAGGTAGCGTGTTATTACATGATGAGAGCAGCATCGTGCAAGCTCTCGACGGAAGCATGATGGGAGCTTCTGCGAGCTTGTGAGAGCTTGTCAGAAGCATCTTGCCGCTCGCGTTTTATGTCCTGGCCTTCTCAGGATTCTCTGCAGGAAAAAACAATGGAGCCCTGGACAGCCCAGTGAAATTTGTCATCTTCACCTCTGCCCCCAAAAGGGGAAGATGAAACTCCGCCTCCTTCTCAACCCACGAAAGCTGGAAGAGGCACGCCCAGTTCAGTCTATGGCGAGGGAGAACACACTGCACACCGCGCAAGACACAGCACAGCATGAAGACGTTGAGTCTTACGTGGAAGTCAATTTCGCAGTCTGTTGCAGTGATGGCTATGCGGCGCCAGGCAGACCACAAATTGTGGAAACAGCGGCATCAAGGCGCCACGGAGAACGTGGGAAATGCATCCGCAGACGGTTGTCAGACGCTGGGCCCTTTGCCCGGGGCACCTTGACGAAAAAGCAAGCTGCCTTGAAGGCCAACAACTCTTCCCAATCCGTCAGTCGGTCAGGCGTGTTCAAAGGGTTTTGTGAGGGGTACTGACAACCTGGGATAACTAGAAGAACGATTTTTCTGTTGGTGCCGCTCTTGGTGCATCTCTGGGAGCGCTGACTCGGAAGAAATCAGAGTAGGCTCAGCCACAATGTCTCATGCGTCAAAGCGGCATCAAGCCAGGCAGGCCGATCATAACAGTGTGTGTGGTCAGGATGGCGGACGCTTGCAACAAAACGTCGAAAGTGGGACCGCTTGGCTTAGGTGCCGCTTTGCGAAGCGCTTGCCCATAGCTGTTGACCACCTGGCAGCCAAAGTGCCGCTTCAGGGGTCCCGGTATTCAGCTGTGGAGATGGAGAATATTTCGTGGGCGGTGGTGACGGCTACATGCGCACGAAACTGTTTTCGCGAGGTCGACTTCGTCGACGTCGGGCCCAAAGCCGATTGAAGCTTCCGAACAGGACCACTGCGGCGGCGATTTGTGGCAGCGCGTCGGCGACTTCGACATGGGAGAGCAGTTAGGACATCTGTTGCGATGGTTTCATTACGGCCTATGATGATGCCGACACTGCGGATTTGTGCACGGATTAGGGCATAATAAAGTATGTGGCAAGAGCGATTTAAAGGAATCGGATTGCGAGAACGACGAAGCTTTGGAGCCAGTGCCTCATGCAGCTTATGCCACGGGCCTCGGCGAAGAGCACGCTGCCGTTTGAAATAAACTCGGGACCGCCCTTATCGCTTTTGCTCTTCGAAACACGTGCATCACGGACTTTTTTGGGAAAAAAAAATTGTGTTTTAACTGGCAGCTTTTCATTTACTACGAACTTTGGGATAAAGCGAACGGATGCTGCGTCACGCTCAGGTTCGTTATAAGCGGGCTCGACTGTATATCCACACTATACCTGTGAGGATGAAATGTATTGCACTTCATGGTGCATTCAGACGACGGACCGAATCCGGATTTGTCATGGACGCAGGCAGCTAATCTGCGGATGATTCGCCTGCAGGCGCATCCACACGACGGACGGTTTCCTAGGAGAAAACAGCCGGATTACCCTCGACAGCAGGTTCGCCGCTCACCTGCACCCGCTGAAAGCAGACCGGTTTGAGAGTATTTAACATGGATGCCCGCAAGAAGCAACGCTTGACTGCGATGTCTGTCGCGTTGTGACAAATGAACGAGAAGTGTTATTCTGTCAGGAGAAAAGGGAATTGCTGGCAGAATGTTCTTTCAACTACACTGTTCCCTACTTGTAGAACTTCTGAACGCGTCTCCCATCCTTTTTAGAAGCGGCACGTCACCGGTTGCAGAATTTAGAATATTTCACCATCATGACGGCTATGAATCTCGCATGTCAAACGACGGCGGCGACATTTCCCGAACCACCAAAAGTGATTTCTGCGTATTTAATCACCTGAGAACAAAGCCTCCGGAAACTAAGTAAACCATGCTCAAGTGTAGATGATGCCGACCAGTCATGCAGCTGTCCGCGATCCATGGAGGACATGCCGAGAGCAGACGAAAAGTGTACTGGTTGCCACCAACCCTGACCTATTCCGCTGAAGTACCGGCTTTCTCCTGCCAGAATCCCGATGTGAGAAACAGGTCAGGTTCATCCGTCCGCGCGCGGCTGGCGAGGGGAATTGCTGATGTGAGGTCACGTGATGCGCCGTCCGTCCCGCCACATCCGGGTTAGTGTCCGTCGTCTGAATGCACCATTAGCATCAAATTGGACATCACGTCAGAGCTGCTTACGTTCGGAAATATTCGTGGACTGTCAAAAATATTTGGAGCAATGAATAGCATCTACATCAATTGAAAAACTTCAGCTAACTGGGCACCATAAAATATACAAACTTTAAGCTGTGTACACACACTTTGTGTAGGCCGTAGAGTGGAGAAAATACACTTAAACTTCTCTTTAATGAAGTTCAAGAAAGTGCCAAACTTACTTCTCTATGCCCATTGATGCCCTTCGGTAAAGTATCCTTGGAGGATATGCATGCTGTGTGTGCACTTTAAAACATGTACATTGGCTAGCAGGTGATTGGGCATACCAGCCACATTATGCGTAATTCAGCCTTGTCGACCACATGGCAACTCTGCCCAATTTTGTAGCAATACTCTGAATAAGATAGCGGATGCAAATTTGATATTTAATCTGTAGCATTAGCTTTTGATGTTCGTGTTGAAATCGTAGCTTTTCATTTTCCAGATCTGAACCTTTACGATGATGCTTTCCTAGAAAATGGTAAGCTCATGATCATAAGCATTTTATATTCTTCTTGAATTAGTTGGTGCACTGATCATTTTATTCGCATGTAACTATTGTGTCATATTATAAGTGCTCATAATATTTAATATCAGTTTAGTACTGACTCATGCCCATAACTTTGTCACCATTGTCTTTAGTTACTGTTTCATCAGTGTAATGAAACACTTTTTTTGAGTAACCATGGAAATAATTTCTTGAAAAAGCGTATTGCCTCACAAATTCAACGCAGCAAAAGTTTTGAGAATCCGTCCAGCACGCTGACATCGCATTCTCTCTTCTCTCGTCCCGACGAAAGTGCTGGTAGCTAAGCAGGGAGGGATGGGAGGGGCAAACAAAAAACGTCACGCACGCCTCATGACCTTGAGCGTTTTTTTTTTCGTTTTTTACTTCGAATGTGCGGTTCTTTCAGTGCAATTGCACGCGCACGCGTGATCAAGTCACAGCCTTTTGTGATGATCTCTGTAACAACCAAGCTTGCCATGTTCAAATCAGCCAATGGTTGATAGATGGGTAATCTATGTGTTATTTTTGAGCATATTCCGTTATTTGTCGAGGGAAGAGGAAGCAATTTTTAGCTGACTTCGATAATTTATTGTGAATTCCAGGCCGCGTGCTGCGCTATAACATTTAGCTCGCATGTTCTTGGGAGCCTCTACTATCGATCAGCAGCGTTTTCTGACCATGCTCAGAAAGTTTTACAGGGCCCGATTAAATCAGAGCCAGTGCTGGTAGTTGTCAGATTCACAGGGACATGACTGGTTGCCTGTGGAAATCGCTCATGCGAAAAGTTAGCATCTGAGTACTACCAACTGATGAGAAAATGAAGATAAACAACCTTTCATTAGCCTATTGTGCACATATTTTAACTAAAAATTGTTTTAGAAGTTAAGGGCATGTTATTCACTTTAAATGTTGTGTTATATGGGCTTTTTATTTTACCTTTAGTGCCTCCAAATACGTCATTCTTGTGCCTGAGCCCACCACTTAGCGAGCGAGACTACTTTTTTCACCTTGATGAAAACGAAGGCATCTGCGACTTGTTTGACGTCTTGTGACACATCGGCCGTCCTCTGCATACTATCTATTTTTTTCATGTTTGGGATCATTTGAGAGGATGTTGCTTTTTTGCTTGTTGAACTTCTTTCAACGAGTGTGGGTGTTTGTGTCAACTCTCAAGTTGCCTGTACATTATGAGAGAGGGCGTAATACTACCACTGGACTGCTGCTGCCACTTTGATAGTCTTGCAGGGCGTTGCTTTCATACACAAAGCTGGCAGATGGTCGAGATGACAGCAGTGATGGTTGAGTGATAGTGGTATGCTAAAGCTTTCCATTGCATTGTGAATAATGCTTCGTGAATAGTTCATGAGGTGGCTGTCATAGTACTCGGTTTGCTTAAAGGCCAACTCCGGCGATTTTTTGACCATGTCAAGGTAATGGTGTTTCTATGTTCCTCGGACACTCATGTCAGGAGCCCAATAGCTGAAATGCTCTGTAAGTTCAAAAATAATTTTTAATAAGCAAAAAAGTACAAAACCAAAACTGAAACACGACTGGGTGCCCTGTCTGCGTATGACGTACTATTTTGTAAGAACCGGTGGCCATATACTGGTCTCGCCGGCATGTAGTATGAAAACTGTGGAAGCCAGACCAGCGAAGCACCGTCCCAACACCACAGAGGAAGGAAGAAAACCTTTCTGGGCTATATACGTGCCAAATACCGCCGTTGTCGCCTTGTGGCCAGCACAATAAACGCTGTAGTGGCCAAAGTAGTGATGCCATTGGCTGCATCACTTTCGTTGACATGTCAAACACGACGTCACACAGACAGTGTTGCCAATAATTCTGGCAAGCGAGGTGAGCTTTTCAAGGCAATCTTTAAAATTCATTTTTAAACAATCAGCGCATCTTTCAAGTCTGTAATTTGGCATAAATGACGGAAATGTGCGAAGGAATGTACCCAGCGAACTTCATTGACATTCATAGACCTCGAGAAATCGCCGGTGTTGGCCTTTAAACCTACATTGTTGAGTGATACTTCCCTCTTTCACTGAAGTTTCTACAGTGTACTGCTTTCAGCTCTTTTTTTTGCTACAATTGAACCTCTTTTTTTGTAAGTCCAAGGGGCAATTCTTGTCTTTTATATGCGGTGTCTCTTATAAGCAGAGTGCTACAGTTGCGGTTTTTTTTATCAGCCCCTATTTTGATCAGCCCCTATTTTGATGTCTCTTATGCCCAGTCGTCTCTTATGTAAGTGTCTCTAATAAAGGGGCTCGACTATAGTACATAACATGGAGTTGTTGTTTGACATCAAACCACTTCTTTTGCTGCTATATATAGACCCTCTTGTGTGTTATAGAATCATAAACATGCAGATTTCATGGATCACATGAAGTATTTATATCATCAAAACTAACAAGATTGTGTGAATTCATTTCATATAGAGCTTAATTGGCATGGCTTTATTCTCTGTAATTAATTTGAGTAGTCAAGTAGATGGATTAATATCAATGGGGGGGGGGGGGGGGAGGTGAGAGCTTTCACAGTGCAAGCATGAAAAGCTTTTATTCAACTTTTTATTCTGTCTTTTCCTCCCAGTCTAGTAATATCTACTTTACCTTTTGGTGTAGCTAGATGTTTTATGGCCACTCGGTGCACAATCTGTTGCTTCACGTGTCGCTGGTTGTGTTCCACACAGCACAGTTGGGTTTGCATGCTTCATCTCTGGCTTGATAGACAATAAGGCACTCAAAGTGCAATAGAAAAAGAAATAGCATTTTCACCTTAAAGAAGACATGGTAAAAATAAAATAACCTTGGCTCACAAGCTTCGAACACAGCATCTAGGAACTACAGTGGGAAATGGTAACTCATTGCTAATGCTTTAATTACTAGATACATTTGCTGTTATGTGAGCTGCTGTTAACCTTCTCAATGGCTGCATTAGGCACTCTGCTGCATTGCACCTCAAGCTAGCGACTGAAATTTATGATATTGGTGCAGATTTGGCTAATTTGTTGACTTAGTAGGCACAGTGATGGAAGGGCTCTTCCGATCGCTCCAAACTGCTCCAAAAGAGAAATGCTGCTGAATGCTGATCCAAAGTGCAATATTTGCTAGTAATTGCTCCAAACCTGCTCCGAAAGGACTTTGGCAAACTAAAAAGAATGAAGTTGAACCATGGGACCATCCCGTCAGCCTAAGCGAAACCAAAAGCAAGGTGTAAGCACTAGATTTGATTTGATGTGTGAGGTTTAACATCCCAAAACCACCATATGATTATGAAAGACGCCATAGTGGAGGGCTCCGGAAATTTCGACCACCTGGGGTTCTTTAACGTGAAGGTGTAAGCACTATCATCCTAGTATGCTACTGAGTGGCGTAAATCCAGAAAAATTTTTAGGGGTAACACATATCAGGCCACGGTGTCTAATATATATCTTTAATATGGGTTGTATTTTTATTTATATAGGAATTAAATCGTGCTTTTAAATAAAATTTAGAAAAAACGAGTTTGACGTCCAAGCTCGAGCATTCATTCAATTGCATTCTATTCAGTCTCTTTTTTTTCACCTTTTATATACACCACTCACAGTGGTCATTAAGAGTGTTCAACACACCCTAATTTTACACATTGTGTGCAGTCCAACAGTACTTGGTCTACAGTTCTCCAATGGGGATTTGTAGAATGCAGGAATTCTACGAAGAGCATTTTAGTGTTGTTCCATGAGAGAGTAATCGGAATGAATGCAATTGAAACTCGTTTTATCCTGTTAACACCCAATTATATCATTAAAACAAGGTAACGTGTCTAAATTCAGAAACAAGAGAAGAGAACAAAGCAACACAAATACCGACTGTGTTCGGAAAAGGCTCACTGCGATGGGAAGAAAACCATTTCGGGAGATCTCATGTACTATGAGAATCGATGTTTTGACATGTAAAGCCTCAGCAAATCTATTTCTTCTTGTGAATAAGCCAGGTAGCTGTGCAGAGAGATAGAAGAGAAATAACATTTATTTATACATCGGCGTGTAGGAAGTCCTCGGCCTCGCAGGGTGCGGATGTTCCCTATCTTAAGATTACGGCTATTAGAGTCCGATAATCTCAGAGCCTAGAGCTCGAGGATGTTGTGCTCCGACTAGGCGACAGTTACTCGGGTGCCTTTGCACACGAGTAACTGTGCAGTCGTAGATTTTGGCTAAGGTTATATATGTTCGTATATGGTTGTGCGGTCGAACCCCTTGGTAAAAGGCACTGATATAAGAGACAAGTGGCTATAAGAGACACCAGATATGGGTTAACAAAATGCATACGAGGTACCCTGTTTATAAGAGACATCTCATATAAAAGGCAAGGATTGCTGCCCGAGCATGCCTCTTATAAAAGGCTTTAACTGTATTTAACTACTTTTTGGTGGCTCATTGCATTGCTCCCAACATACTGATGCCACTACTGAGTTGAATGCCTTTTGTAGTTTAGGAAAGCTACATAAAGGGTCTTGAAATATACTAAGTATACAAAGGGGTATGTTGTACTCGGCAGGTTTCTCATTTACCTGATCAGATTTCTTTGATTCATTGTAAAGTACGCCTTCCTGGGACAAGCTTGTCCTCTTGATTGATCGAAACTACCCTTTTCTAAAATAAATTCATTTGAATTTTTTTTAATGGTCAAAGTGAGCTGATGCACTTCAACTCTTTAACTTATTTATGCCTCCCTTCTTGTGTATCGATGTGATATCAGTATTTAACTAACTTACTGACACATCTGAAGTTTTAAGACATTCATTGTAAAGAATTATTTATGTTATCCGAAAATTCATGCTTTCATGACTGAATGTTTGAGATTCTACTTCAAGATTCTACTTTTAGTAATTATTTTGCTCTTAAAAAGACATGACCCGAGTGCAAATGAAATTGGAAAGCCATAATTTTTTTTTTTTTGATCTCTACACATTAGTGAACTCAGTTGGGTGGTGTGTCACACGTGGGACTTGTGTAAAGCGTGCTTTTGTGCTACGGGAAATTGTACTGAAATTGCACTTTTTGATTTTAAGCCATTTTAATTGGAGATAGGTCTGCAAAATTTGTAGGGCTAGCATTGCGGGAACAAACATACTGAACTGAAATCATACTGGTGTTCAGCTGTTGATAGAAATGCCATCCATCTCGAAAGCTTTCAGGCTGATGCACGCATGACCAGAGTTGGTGTTGGGTCATAATAGGTGGCATGATTGCTCAAAGCATGCCTTGTGCTGTGTATGAAAAAAAAAAACTGTGACTTGTTGAGTCATAAAATAGTAGTATGTAGGGCATGAATGTGCAGGAAGTCCCGCCTTGGTGGTCTCATGGCTAAGGTACTCGGCTGCTGATCTGCAGGTTGCGGGATTGAATCCCGGCTGCGGCGGCTGCATTTCTGATGGAGGCGGAAATGTTGTAGGCCCGTTTGCTCAAATTTACGTGCATTTCAAAGAACTCCAGGTGGTCGAAATTTCCGGAGCCCTCCACTGCGGCGTCTCTCATAATCATATTGCCACTTCTAAAGGCTCGTTGCACTTCTGAAATCTCGTGACTATATGGTGGTTTTGGGATGTTAAACCCCACATATCAATCGTCAATCAATGTGCAGAAAAGGCAGTCACCTGCACATTTACATTTATAGCACAAACCAAAGATGTCATTTTCAAAGAAATTGTACTGAAATCCAGGTGATCTAATGACATCCTATGAGATAAAAATTACAATATGAATCACCCACCCCATGGTAGCTTCTGAATCCAACTACATTGTGCTTGTGCATACCTGTGAACTCTACCATGTTTTTCTTTTGTTTTCAATTGTGGACTACTATAATTTAGGAATAATTCCATGATTTCATATTCTGTAAGATGCTGTATTCCAGTTAAGTAATTTTTAAAGGGGATTTTCAGTTATTCCTTGAAGCAGTTAAAATGGTTGACCATACTTTTGCCTAAAATGTAGGTCAGTGTGTACTGGTAAATTATTTTAATAATCTCTGTCATAGGCGATTTTGCCATCATAGGTTAGTTATTTTGTCCTATGGAGGTAAATAACATAAAATATACAACAAAGAAAACAAATCCCCAATGGACAATTCTGTTTGTTTGTGGCACCTTAGTATGTTGGAAAAAAATTTAAAAAACGCCAGGCCTGGATGGGAAGCACAGCACATTCCTAGGGAAAGCTGGAACAGTGGCCTTTCTAGAAGCTATTGTAAACTCTCTGACTAATGGAAGCACGCACTGCGTCATGTACAAATGATGCTACTATGCGTTTCTGTTGCATCAAGACAAAGAATTATTATCCAGTTCAAAAGTGGAATTGAACCGAAGTGTATTTTCTCAGAAGCTTAATAATAACTGTCGGAGTTAAACATTCCAAAACCACGATATGATTATGAGAGACATTATAGTGCAGTTCTGTGAAACATTTGACCATCCGGTGTTCTTTAATGTGCGCCTAAATCTAACTACAGCGGCATCAAGCATTTTCATCTCAATTGAAAGCGTGGTGATCGCAGATGGAATTTGATCTGTCTACCTTCGGGTCATCTGTAGGTAATCCTGAGCAGTGTGGCGGGTTTCTAAGCAGCTTGCACAGCATGATGATTCATCATCAGCCTGACTACGTCCACTGCAGGACAAAGGCCTCTCCCATGTTCCGCCAGTTAACCCGGTCCTGTGCTTGCTGCTGCCAATTTATACCCGCAAACTTCTTAATCTCATCTGCCCACCTAACCTTCCGTCTCCCCCTAACCCGCTTGCCTTCTCTTGGAATCCAGTTAGTTACCCTTAACGACCAGCGGTTATCCTGTCCACGCGCTACATGCCCGGCCCCTGTCCATTTATTCGTCTTGATTTCAGCTATGATATCCTTAACCCCCGTTTATTCCCTGATCCACTCTGCTCTCTTCTTGTCTCTTAAGGTGACACCTACCATTTTTCTTTCCATTGCTCGCTGTGTCGTCCTCAATTTAAGCTGAACCCTCTTTGTAAGTCTCCAGGTTGCTCCGTAGCTAATTACCGGCAAGATACAGCTGTTATATACCTTCCTCTTGAAGGATAGTGGCAATCTACCTGTCATAATTTGAGAGTGCTTGCCGAATGTACTCCACCCCATTCTTATTCTTCTAGTTACTTCAATCTCGTGGTTAGGCTCCGCGCTTATTACCTGCCCTAAGTAGACATAGTCTTTTACAACTTCAAGTGCACTATTACCTATCTCGGATCGCTGCTCTTTTCTGAGGTTGTTGTACATTTCGTTTTCTGCAGATTCATTTTAAGACCCACCTTTCTGCTTTCCTTGTCTAACTCCTAATCATGAGTTGCAATTCGTCCCCTGAGTTACTCAGCGATGCAATGTCATCGGCGAAGCACAGGTTACTAAGGTACTCTCTATTAACTCTTATCCCTAACTGTTCCCATTCTAGGCTTCTGAAAACCTCCTGTAAGCACGCGGTAAATAGCATTGGGGAGATTGTGTCCCCCTGCCTTACACCCTTCTTGATTGGTATTCTGTTGCTTTCTTTATGAAGCACTATGGTAGCAGTTGATTCCCTGTAGATTTCTTCCAGGTTGTTTATATATACTTCATCGACGCCCTGATTCTGCAGTGTCTGCATGATGGCTGATATTTCTACTGAATCAAACGCCTTCTCGTAATCTATGAAGGCTATGTCTGAAGGCTATGTCTATGAAGGCTGTATTCTGAGCATTTCTCTATTACCTGATTGATAGTATGAATGTGGTCGATTGTTGAGTAGCCTGTTCGAAATCCTGCTTGTTCCTTTGGTTGATTGAATTCAAATGTTTTCTTTACTCTGTTAGCAATTACCTTTGTAAATAGCTTGGATACTACAGAGAGCAAGCTAATCGGTCTGTAATTCTTCAAGTCCTTGTCATCTCCTTTCTTGTGTATTAAGATGATGTTAGCGTTCTTCCAAGACTTTGGTACCCTTCCCGTCAGGAGGCACCTCGTAAACAGGGTGGCTAGTTTTTC